TGGACATCTTTAGTACATTGGAAGCGTCCGCCATGCGCCAATTCCGGGCGAATATGAGAGACTACGTTGCTGCTGTTCAGGGCGATCTTGCTGTAGCGCCTGCGGACCTTTCGCCTCCTGACTTCTTGGACGATGCTTTGCAGACGCTCAAAGTGCTTGCAAAGAGCTATGATACGTCAGCTGCAGGCACAGACGATCAAGGCCACGGCTTCCAGGCTGTACTTGTGGAAGCGCTTGATCCGTTCATGGCCGGATGCGTTAATCTGCAAAAGGGTCTGGAGCAGCCGGGTAGCGCAATCTTTGCTATCAACTGTCTCATGGCAACAGAAGAAGTTCTCTCGGCATATCCGTTTGCAAAAGAGCGAGTGGAGGACATGAATGACACAATCGAGGAACAAGTTGCACAGCTAGTCGAGTATCAGCATCAGTTCTTGCTTCACGAATCAGGTCTCATTGTGCTACTTGAAGCACTCTCCGACATTACAGACTCAGACGAGAGCTTAAAGTCGATAGCAGAACTGGATGCCTTCAAGCCCGATGCACTCGTAGCAGCCAGCCAGCAGCTGGATGAGTTCCTGCCGTCTGCACTGATCGATGCAGCCGAGAACCTGAAGCGATTGAAGAACAGAAAGATGATACAAGATATCACAGAGCAAGCAGCGAGCAGTTTCTGTGAAGACTTCGAGTCTGTGGAGACAAAGATGATTGCAGCTGATGACTTGTCTTACGACGAGGACAAGGAAGATGAGGAGCAGGAGCCTGCTCTGAGAGACTTGTTCCCCAGGACGAGTGGTGAGATTAGGGTGTTGCTGAGCTAGTCAGACCTTGAGTTTACTCATCTAGCCCATGGCAAACGCAGGACAACTCTTTCACAATGTACCCTCACCTGCCTCTTGATGTACCGTGACATCCATTCCTAACCGCCGTTCCTCGTGTCATGCTCATAGATACAGGTCGAATGTAAGATCATAACTCGTGACTCATGCAGAACAGCCAGATCACTGGGGTTTCTTCTTCTCCCACTCCTCTGGTGTGTGACATTTTGGCGTCCAGGCGTGTATCGCTGCAATCTCTTCTTTGAGTGTTGTGTTGACCAGCCGATGTCGTGCTAGTGTTGTCTTCTTTGTGAATTGTGGTGAGACGATGATGGCCTCATACATTTGGCCGCAGCCGCCTGGTGGAAGATCAGTGAAATTAATTCCAAGTACATGTCGAAACATGTAGATGTACAACACGGAGAATTCCTCCAAGTCTATCCAGCCATTTGCGTGCAGTATTCATGTGCTCAGCACATGTACGATGCTGCATTCAAGTCCGCCTCTTTCGGCACACCTTCCAAACCACACGAAGAATGCAAATGGCGGGGTGCTCAAGATCAGGCCGAAAAACGCAAAGACCGAGAAGATGCACAAACAACAATGAAGGCATTATCGGAGCGAAAGGACAATATGAAATCTCTTTCATACCACTCAGATCCGCAATCTCAACATAGACCGCGCCCAAGCCCTCCCTCAACTTCCTCTCAATCCCTTCGGGCGTAACGCCGGAACTAGCAGGTTGCGCGTCTGCATCCGTCATGTTGGTATCGGTATCCGGGTCAACGGTCAATTTGTCCAGGGTGCGGTAGAGTGTGTGTCTGGGGTCCATCGGGCTCAGGATTCGCAATGATGCGATATTCTGGCGCTGGCGGTGTTATCTTCGGATCTGATAAGATTCGAGTGCCGAATGGGGAACGTGAGGGTCGAAGCTCGGGCGATGACGTGGGGCGGAGGATGCAGGGTCGCTTGGTAGCGCGGCGCGTGGGCTGCTGGAATCTTGGACGGAGGGTGAGGGTACCATTGATTGTGCATGTTTAGGCAGACTTTGAGAAGGTGTTCTGCGCATTCGATGAGTGCAAATATGGCGACTTGTGCGCCGTTCTCGAGGGCCGTGGTGCGGGCGATGCGGAAACTGTAAGTTGATCTCTGTTCGATCGAATAACGGGCGCGAGGAGTGGGAGGTGAGTTGGCAGCTTCAAGTCTGCATCCCATGTAATAGCGGGTGTCTGAAATTGTGGAAGCTCATTTGCGCTTCCATTGACATTGGTAGTCGCCATTGTTTACAATACTAACAACCATAGCTATCCAGAAACTCTCGCGGACAAGTCATGGGACAATACTGGTCTTCTCCTCGAGGCACCTTTCGTATCGTCTCGTCGCCAGTCAAATACCGTCCTCCTCACCATTGACCTCACCAAAGCCGTCGCCGACGAAGCCATTGCGCTCAATTCCTCCATCGTCGTCGCATACCACCCCATCATTTTCCGAGGGCTAAAGTCCATCACGCTCGCAAACACACAACAGCAGACTCTGCTGCGTCTAGCTAGTCATGGCATCAGCGTATACAGTCCACATACTGCCATTGATGCTGCGCCAGGAGGACTCGGAGATTGGTTGGCTGACATAGTTACGGGCACCAAGACGACTCGCGACGAAAACTTGTCAGAAGCAGAGTCGAGCAAGCAGAGCAGCAAGGCGGATGACGATGACCCCTTCATCGAGAAGAAGCGACCGACATTCACACTGAACCACCATCCCAGCCAAACGACGTTGCGACTTGCAAACCTGCCCGCTGTGTCTGCTACAACGGCCACAGTACCGCACACACGTCGACCGGTCATTCCGCAATCGCCTGAGATAGCATCACATCCTGGTGCTGGAATGGGTCGTGTGGTGGAGTTCAGTCAGCCGCAGCCACTCCCGACCCTGCTTGACCGCATAGGCAAAGGCCTGAATAACCCTAAAGGCTTCCCCATCGCCATACCACAGAATGCTACAATATCGGATATAACAATACGGAGCGTAGGCATATGCGCAGGATCAGGCGCATCTCTGCTGGGTGGGCTTGATGTGGATCTGATCTTCACCGGCGAGATGACCCATCATGATGCGCTTGCTGCGATCGAGAAGGGCCAGGTGGTTATTAGCCTGTTTCATAGTAACTCGGAGCGAGGTTTCCTGGCAGAAATCCTGCTGGCCCAACTGGAAGAAGCAGTGGAGACCGAGTGGGATACATTGAGGGAGGAGGAGAAGGGCAATGAAGAGTTGAAGGAGGCGTTGGCGGAGGACGATTTTGAAGTTGCTGTCAGCGAGGTCGATCGCGATCCATATGGAATTCTGGTGTTGAAGCCAGAGGTGGAGGAGCGGCAGTGATGCTGAGGGCGACCTGCGATGTACTCGACAGACATAATGAGAACTTGTGACATCAAGTTCCGCAACAATTCATGCCCGTTCGAACTCAAATCTTACAACTGATCGTACACTTAGAGTCCGACTCCTACGCTCTTCGTAAACTGTGAGTCTTGCCATTGTATACTCTAGCTGCTGTCTAGAGAAAAAGCGCCCGACTTGTTGAAGAGGCTTGAAGGTCAACACACGTCGTAGCCAAGGGATTCAATGTGTCGTTTATAAAACACAATGAAGAACAACACGGCCCCGCCGCCAGTAATGGCAAAGCTTAGGCAAATAACTATACCAAATCAATGGTTCAGTCATTATCTCCAAGTGTACTGCCTCGACAAGGCACGCGTATTCCAGGTTCATTCATTCACCTTCCCTGTTTCTTTCTGAATCATTTTCACAACTTCTTCCTAGATTTACCTTGTGTCAATGACTCACAAGGCGGTGGAGGGAAGTAGTGATGGCCCGTGTGTAGGGTCTGATGAACTGAAGAAGGCACAATTTGTGATATGCGCGGTCTCAATTTCTGCTTCAAGTCTGCCGTGACGTAGGATTCTGATGCCAAGTTGGCTTTCGAGGTTGAAGCATTGCTCATTGAGAACTCCCACAGGTGTCTGTTACTTGTTGCTAGTGTTGCTACACATGAATTACTCATGCCTGACTACTTTTGAAGAAGAATCGAGCGATCGGCAGTTTCCGCACGACCGGAGCGTACAGCCTACACACCCCTGTCAGTGAGGAGTGAACGGTGAACTGCCTCGCCTTTGGGGCAGATTGTAGATTTTCTGGTACGGTGACCTATGACCCTGAACTATCTCGCTTCCTTTACGCCCAATATGCCTCTCCTTCGCATGAAATCCGTAGCGATGCTGACATCGCCGTTGCACTTCCACAGACACGGCGTAGAGCCACTAGTCCGAGTTCTACCCACCCTTACGCCATACTAGAGCACATGGTTAGAGTAGTGCTTTTAGAGGAATGCCGCATCGAAGCTCTGAAGACACATATACCGGGCATCCAGAAGACATCCTTGGCGACTGGGAACGGCTTGTCAGCTTCGAAGCGGTCGTGTTTGTCTCCCAGCATCAGCATACGCTTGTTTCAAAAGCCACCGACACCTACGAATATCGAATACCCCGCTGTGCACACTGGCTCGCAAGAACCGCTTTTGGGGGCGGTTCCACATTGTGTAGGATGAGTCTAGTGTTGTCATCACAGTGCAGGCAGATATGACTTCAGCACTGGATCAATTCCCTACTGATGGCACAGCAGTCTAGAGAAAGCCATAGCCTCACCGTCCAGCGAGGCGGCTAGGTGCAGATGCCAGCCTCTCGATGGCTCGTGGAGACCGGCAGCGTTTCCTTGGGAAGCATGCCGATCTCGAACCGTGCTTGCGAAGGCAGCGCATAAATTCCGCCGCAGCATACTTATCGGAGCAAGACCCATCTTCATCAGGTCGCAGATATGGAGATTGGTCCTCGAGAAACACGAGTGCTAATCTCGATGTACCTGGCGGTTGAGCAAAGTCGACCAAGTGTCGAGGGAGCCGTTTCCCAGAATTGGAACGATTGGCTAGTGGTTACCAGCAAGCAGCCCCGCCCGGCCCCTGACCGACTCAACGTTCCACCAACCACTTTGCGACACAGGACAAAATTTTCCAACATCGGAGCCTTCATTGAGTCAAACTGGATCAAGGAGTTTCTGAACAGCGTTGTTCTTTATATAATATCAGAACGGCAAAATCGCCATCAGCAACCAAAGCCACTTTGAGTCATCTCAAAATCCTCCGTGGCGCAATTGGCTAGCGCGTCTGACTGTTATCCATATCTATGGTAGCTCATCAGGAGGTTGAAAGTTCGAGCCTTTCCGGGGGAGCTTCTTTTTTGCTGTTTCGCGTGGCGTTACGTCCTCCCGACGGACCTACTTTTGCGATTTTCCATCATTCATCGCCGACATGCCCTTGAACGTGTCCGGGTAGATCGCTTAGGCGGGAAATCATTATCTGTTGGAGAGCTCGTCGGGCGTCGTTCTTTTTCGCAGTTGGCTAAGTGTTCCTACACTACAGAACAAACGACACGTGCACCATTATTTCGGACTTGTACACACATGTTCGTAAGCTTCGAAGCGTTTCATGACATGATTCGTTATGCATTGACATTATCTTTTATCTCTATCCAAGCCACGCAAAGAGGAAACGCTAGTATCAAGTTCCCTAACGGAAGAAGTCTATAAACTCTCTAGAACGGCCATACCCAATCCTCGGTCAATTTTGGATCTATGCCTTCGTGGAACGCATAGTTCTTTGCCTTAATCTGCTCATTCAGCATCTCCTCGCGTGCAGCAGCGCCCTTGTTGCCAAGCCCGGGAAGACGATCAATTGCATCAATCGCCAGACTATACCGATCGGTGCCATTACGGATGGCCAATTCAAGCGGCGTATCGATGTTGCCCTTCTCGCGGTAGCCGCGCACAAGCAGGTTTTGCTGCCCCTTGCGGCCATATGTGAGGCGGTGGATGAGCCATGGGTACGAGTGGAAGTTGAAGATGCACGGCTTATCGTCAGTGAAGATGGCTTTCCACTCGTGCGCCCTCAGACCATGCGGGTGCTCGTCTGCGTCAATGAGTTTGAATAGATCGACGACGTTAACGAAGCGGATCTTGAGTTCGGGCAGGTGCGTGCGCAGGAGGGCGGTGGCTGCAAGAGCTTCGTGCGTCGATGTATCGCCGCAGGACGCCATGACGATATCCGGTTCTTCGCCCTTGTCGTTGCTGGCCCATTCCCAGATTCCGACACCCTTTGTGCAATGTGCAATGGCTTGTTCCATGGTCAGGAACTGAAGATGCTCTTGCTTGTCGGCGACGATGACATTTACGTAGTTGGAGCTGCGCAGGCAATGGTCCATTGTCGATAACAAACAGTTCGCATCGGGCGGGAGGTAAATGCGGACGACTTCGGGGCTCTTGTTCGCAACCACGTCTAGAAAGCCGGGATCTGTAGAGAAGAGTTAATTTGGAATATCAGAGCTGAAACATGGCTACTTGCCTTGATGTGTGAAACCATTGTGATCTTGTCGCCAGACAGTTGCTGTGAGAAGAATGTTGAGCGATGCAATCTTCGCCCTCCACTCGACCTCCAAGCACTTCTCAATCCATTTGCAATGCTGGTTTACCATGGAGTCGATGATGTGAATGAACGGCTCGTAGCTGTTCAGGAGACCGTGGCGACCAGAAAGTATGTAGCCTTCGAGCCAGCCCTGAATATGGTCAGCTCTGAACTGTGTATGTCTGAATCCGTACATACCTCGCAAGTGTGTTCTGATAGCATCTCCATGACACGACCAGCATGGGCTAGATTTCCACCATCTTCATCCTCCTCGAAGTAGTCAGCCATCCAGACCTTCTTACCTGCCTCATAGATAGTGGACAGCTTATTGGACTCAGTCTCATCGGGTCCAAACACGCGGAAAGTGTTGGGATTATCCTTGATCACGTCTCGTAGGAACGAAGCAAAGTTCGCCATGCTGCCCATCTTTGCTACTCCTCCCTTTTGGACCTCAACCTTGTAATCGCGGAAGTCCGGCAGGTGCAGCTTGCCCTTGATCAGGCCTCCATTCGCCACCGGGTTCGCGCTCATTCTCCGATTACCCTCTGGAGCCAATGCTCGGAGCTCTGGTAAAAGCTTTCCGTTCTCGTCAAAATGCTTCTCGGGCTTGTAGCTTCGCAGCCACTCCTCGAGCATCTTTAGTTGCGCCTTGTCCTTCAACACATTGGTCAAAGGCACTTGATGCGAGCGCCAGTAGCCCTCCAAGAAGTGGTCGCCCAATTTCCTGGGCCCGGTCCATCCCTTGGGTGTGCGGAGGACGATCATAGGCCAGCGTGGTCGAAATGCCTTGCCTGAGTCACGTGCCTCCTTCTGGTATTCGCGAATCTTTGTGACGCAGCGCTCCATGGTGGCGGCCATGGCTTGGTGCATTGTCGGTACATCGCTGCCCTCGACGAAGTATGGGGTCCACCCATAACCAATGAACATTGCCTCGAGCTCTTTGTGGCTGATGCGCGAGAGCACAGTTGGGTTGTTGATCTGTCTCGAATTAGATGACGTTAGGGACGAGATCCATATCAGCTCACCTTGTACCCGTTCAAGTGGAGAACAGGCAGAACAGCTCCGTCAGTTATTGGATTCAAAAACTTGGTAGAATGCCAACTGGTGGCCAAAGGACCTGTCTCAGCTTCACCATCGCCGACCATGGTCAGCGCGATCAAGTCAGGATGGTCGAAAACGGCTCCAAAAGCATGAGAGATTGAGTAGCCAAGTTCTCCGCCCTCGTGAAGACTTCCAGGAGTCTCTGGTGTTGCGTGCGACCCAATTCCTCCGGGGAACGAGAATGATTTGAAGAAACGTCTCATGCCGTTCTCATCCTCGCTTTTGTCTGGGTAGACTTCTGAATAGACACCCTCGAGGTAGGAATTTGAGAGGACAGCAGGTGCTCCATGACCAGGGCCAGAAATAAAAATAGCGTCGAGGTCGTATTTCCTGATCAAGCGATTCATGTGGATGTAGGTGAATGACTGTCCCGCATCTGAACCCCAGTGGCCCAGCAAACGTCGCTTTAGGTGGTCTAGTGTCAGTGGCTCGCGGAGAAGGGGATTCCGTCGCAAGTAGATCATACCCAAACACATGTACATGCTGGCATGGAAGTAGTCCGTCATCTTGGCGACCTCATCGTTGCTGAGTGGGTGCTCTGTGATGGAAGCTCTTGCAGGCCCAAAGGGCGACAGACTCAGGTTGTCGAGATCTTCGGTGACCTTCTCTGGGTCCACCGGCGCTTTTGCTATCATTGCGTCCATATTGATGTCGATGCTATGGAAGCAGAATGCGGGCTTCTGGCCTTTTCAACTTTTCAAGCTCAGAGACGCGCGCAATGATGTAAATTGCGGAAGTGGGCGGGTTTGTGTGGAGTGTTGAGCTCGGTGAGTTACTAGAGCTTCAGGTAGCTTCAACGAAGGCAATTGATTTAGTTTGGATGATTCTGTGTGAGACAAAGGCGTTGAGCACTTATGGGAGCTTGCGCGTTATCAATGGAGCTCTCGAGCTTGCAGCATCTCGGTGCCCGCCGCCGAGGCTCTCCTGATGTTTTTGAAGCTGCGCCATTGGACCCTCACCATGATCGGTCATGTCACTGCACGTAGTGGTTCGTCATAGTACCATCGAATTGGAGGCACAGGCTTTGCGCATGTATGGACGAACGATGACCTGATTATGATCCCACCTGCACATGCGAACCCAATGCAGCTAGTCGCCCAGACGCGTTCCTGGTCCCCCCACCATCAGTCACCACGCAAACAGCTGACTCTGGTCACGTCGCACCGCTTGCATGCACAGTATTCTTGGGACATTTACTTTCAGTACCTATTGAAGTGTTATTCTTTGGCCAACATGAGGTTCTAAGCTCAGCTTTCTGGAGTGACAGCGACACTCGACGCCTACGACGTCACCAGCAGTTTTCGGAAGGCTGCGGCTCGGATAGCATTGCCGCTACCCACACATCGCATTCTAGCCTTTGCGATGGAGTAGGGCCTGCAGCTTGAGGCAAGGCTGGCGATCATGCCACTGGAAAAGCTCGCGGCTGGACTCTTCGGACAGCACCGCACCGCACCGAATTAGATTTGCCTCGCGTTGAAAACCTTTTTGCTCTATTTATACCTTTTTCAGGCCTCAGACCGCACCCGTTCCTCTGGTGATGGCATTGCTACACCAGCAGTCGTGATCCACGTGTCTTGTCTTGATATACGATCAAGTGACTCAGCACACCACCATTCGGTATGCCACAAGCAACTGCGTTGAGATGCCTTACTACCTCAAGGTAATGTGCTACTCATGTTTTGCAACTTTTCTTTTGACTGCCAAAGCAATGTTTCATTTGAACATGAATTGAAGCATCCCGTTCCTATTTTTCAACGTACTTACCCAAGCGCTCTGCGCTTCGTCTCCACAATATCCTCTGCTAGCAGCTCTTTCATAGTCAATTGCTTCCGCTTCATTATCTCAGCCACCAATGACTTGCAGCGAGAAAAAACGCAGGGATAATAGTCTGTTCTCTGTATGAGATGCTGCTCTTTATATCTTCTCAAAACTTTCACAATTACCCCACTATGTCATTTTCGTCCCACATGGCTGTTCTCCACTAGAATCTTCTCCCTGACTTTCTCTCCATAGCACAGTTTCTGCCGTCAGCAGGCAAGGAACGTGACCACCTTTCTTACACCCCGCACCTAATTTCAGATTTCACAGCGTCAGACTATGTCGCCAGCACCACGTGCGGAAGCCGAGATGAGCATGTTAATGTATCCAAGTAGACAAGTGATGGTGACAGCGTTCTAGACTCTACTTCTCAGAGGCTTCACGTTCATGTCAGCTTATACGGGTACGTAGTTCAGATGTCAGGGCAAGATGTGGCATTTTCCTCTTCTGAACGTGAACCTGAGGAAGTTTTCCTGTCCGAGATAGTGGATGGAGTGGCTGGCTAAGCACTAGCAATCGCCCCACGTTACGTGTATGCGACGAAGACTGTGCCCAATTGCTCAAGTAGATAGCATCAAGGAAGTCGTTGCAGAAGCCAGCCAAGAAGTACAATACTATTATTGTAGATTTCAAGTTACGTTTACGAGAATATTCACATCTGACTTTGAGTCAACATGATTACCACCATGCCCAATACCACGTTAGAACCAACAAGCGATCGAAGCTACCATGATACGAAAGCAGCATATATCTTGCCAAATGAGTGAGTAGTTTGGTCTCAGCGCGCATCGAGCAATACTCTAATCATTTCCAAGCTCCCCAGAACATGCACGTCTAGAAGAACAAGCTATTC